TTGACTCCATAAACCATCTCAGCCTTGTATACATTTCCTTGCACCATAAGCTTCATTTGTGCCTTGATACCCAAGTCACCTTATCTAGGGAGTGTACGGACCCCAAATCATTCCACAGCCTTCTTCCAAGACTTGTGAACTCATCTTGGACTCTTTCTTAGCTTTGTATAAGCTTCTGAACATTCCTAGAGTCCTCCACTCTATTCTTACACCATGGACCATCTTCACTCTTAAAGCTTGTTGTGTCCATTTCATCTCTTCAAGTTAACAACTATAAGCTTTGTTTTGTTTTGTAATTGTTGGCGGTTCGTTTGGTAAGGAGATCAGTTCTTGAATTATGCATCCGTGGGATAAAAGAAAAAAGTTAATCCTATATTTGGCCAATCTTATTCACAAGTTGAAGACACTCCAATTCAAAGGATATTGAAGTCAATCCTATATGCAAAAAAGCTATTCATTACACAAAGCAAGATATTAAAACTATGCATGTAAGGAGGTATAACTTGGTCTATCTAATAGAACTGTATGTACGATTTCTCAGTTTGTGATCGAAGATAAAAAAAAAAACACCTCCCAAAAAGTCTGAGTTTGCCACCCAAGACAAATCCACTTGGCATCTTGGATATAGTGTGACTCACTCACGCATAATTCGTTAGTAAACCAAAATGAAGTGATTTAAGTATATATGTGGAATTGAATTAGAGAATGTAATCTAGGTGTATAATTGATTAGCGTATTAAGTATGAGTGGAGTTTTGAGGAGTTTAAAAGTGTAAAATGATTTAGTGTGGATTTATATAGTTAAGGGAGCGTAAAGACGTCATCCCGACCATATCTAATAAGTAAGGAGCCAATTACAAATCATAATGTCAATCGTCAACGCGTACGCATTCTCGATGTTTCTTCAGTATAACAAGTTTCTTAAGGATGTAGTTTACTCAACGCGAAGGAAAACCAAGGCTTGCAAGTGATGGTTGTTATAACCTATGAGCGTAGTGTTATTGCTTAGGATTGAAGAATCGCACCGAATATTTGTTAGAGGCCATCTACAATGTGATATTGTTGTTTATCAAACTAGTTTGGCTTCAATGATAGTTGATCGTGTGTTCTCCAAAGTTTAACACTATTTTTCTATTGACTTTTTTTTTTATGTTGGAAAAGAAAATAGTTCACATAAATAGTATTCAATCCGTTTCATTTTATTTGTTATTATAGGATTTTGCACACATATTAAAAAAACATTTAGTTTTATATATTTTTAAGATAAAAACACAATTAACTATACACTTAACCACTTTTTAACTAATAAAAAAACAAAATACGAAATAAAACTAATAAATTTTACCTTAAGACTATAAAACAATACTTAATTTGTGACAAAAAATTAACCATAGAATGACAAGTATTCTAAAACGGATGGAGTATTGACTAACAATTACCGCAGAGTTCTAATCGAATATCAAAATCGACTGTCGAAAAACAAGTGATTGGTGTGATGTCCCTTATTGAATAATTCATTAGTTTGCAAGTTTAAAGTTCAAAATAACTGGGAATCTGTGTTAGAATATCCCCATTTTACACATTGCCAAACCACAAACAATGATTAATGAGTTATTGATAAATACACTGATATACACATCTGGTCTTTAATAAACCATAGTGATGACATTTTCCTCATATATATCATTATTTCGTACCAAATGTTAACTTGGAGGTCTTATTGTACTGTTCACGTTTTCCACAAATATTTGATCCATGGCTTCGGCTTCTTCTACTCAGAAACATACCAAATTGTTGCATTCACTATAAAAACACTTAAAATTAGTTTCTATAAAGTATTTTTTTGGGGTCTAAATGTTATAGATTCTAGAAGGATATATCATAACAAAGTAACACTTATTTTGTAAAATACTTGTTTACTTTATATAAGTTACAAACAAAACTTAAAAATTGTGTTTGAGCCCTCTTCAGTTAAGGTTTCATTTTTCATCATTAAAACATGGTTTCTGTTTATTTGATATTAAATTTCTGTTATTTTTAGAATTTTGAATTTTCGATTTTGCTAGGTTTGGCACACTTGCATTATTATTTGAAATGTCATAGAAAAATATAAAGTATATAAGTTGTTTTTTGATCAAAAATTACAGAGTAGTAACTTAAAAATTGTGTTTTAGTTGCCAATCTTATTTTTTTTCTTTGTGCAAATTGCAAAATCAACAACCTCTAGAGAATAGAAGAAGTAGTTGATAGCGCAAAACTTTCAAAAACGACGACAAAATAAACTGGCGCCTTATTAAAAAAAAAAGACGAAAAAATTAGCGCCGTTTCAAAAAAAAAAACACGAAAACGTTCCTGATTGGCTAATCCGTAGTCACGAGGATCGCTATCTCCTTTATTCTGTACCGTAGATAAAACAAAATCCAACGAATAGAAATCATCCTCCTTTCTTTCGTCCTTCCCACTATAAAAACACACCGAGAACCGCCAACTAAAACTCACAAATCTCAAACCACTCTCTCTTCTACACAACAGCAACAAACACTCCAACTCTCCCAAACGATTCTGTCGCAATGGAAACCACAGGAAAAGTGAAGAAGGCTTTCGGAGGAAGGAAACCCGGTGGCCCCAAGACCAAATCCGTCTCCAAATCCACCAAAGCCGGTCTCCAATTCCCTGTCGGAAGAATCACTCGTTTCCTCAAGAAGGGACGTTACGCACAGAGACTCGGTGGTGGTGCTCCCGTCTACATGGCCGCCGTTCTCGAGTACCTCGCCGCAGAAGTAAGTTTCCTTCATTTCAATTCAGATCTGAATTTTTTTCTCATCACGAAAATCATTTTTCTGATCTTAACTATTTTTTTTGGGAATATAGGTTTTGGAGCTTGCTGGTAACGCAGCTAGAGACAACAAGAAGTCGAGGATCATCCCGAGGCATCTTCTTTTGGCGATAAGGAACGATGAAGAGTTGGGGAAGCTTCTGAGTGGAGTCACGATCGCTCACGGTGGTGTGTTGCCGAACATTAACTCTGTTCTTTTGCCTAAGAAGTCTGCTAAGTCGTCTGAGGAAGCTGCGCCAAAGTCGCCAGGAAAATCTCCCAAGAAGGCTTAATCTTCTCGATCGTTTGCTTTTAAAGTCACCAGTTTAGTTGTGTGTTTGGTTTATTTTGTAGAAATATCTAGCTTTTGGTTATGTAATTTTGGATTTGACTTCTCTTCAGATCCAAACTTTTTCTAAGTAACATTTTATAAAATCTTCGCATCGCACCTATCGCAGTAAAAATATATTTATTTAATTGTCTTTCTGTTTAATCACTTTTAAATCACTTAACGACTTTTCATACTACCTGAACTAATATTTGGAAGAAGCTATCAAATGTTTCGTACTCAATTAGTTCGTCGTATTTGTTTAGCGACTCCATTGCGATATACAGCAACTCGTGGTTTCTGTTCATCCAAATTATTCATTGGAGGTATATCCGTCAACGCTCAGCTTAATCTTTCCTGATTAATAGTTTTTGTTTAGCTTCCGAATTCGAAAGTATATGTATGAGTAGAGGTAATTGATTGTTCAGACAACTCTTGGGCGTTAAAACATAAGTTAATTTTAATTCCTAATCCATAATAAAAAGTGCACTCTAAGTGTTCGATTATATGCGTGAGAGAAACACTGAATGTGTAAACACACAATCGCAGGGCTTAATTACGACACTAATGAACCTATTCTGAAGAATGAGTTTGAAAAGTATGGCGAAGTTATAAACGGTAAGATCGCTCTTAGTTTCTCTCTTCGATGGATTAAACAAATGCATCATTTACTGAGTTTTGTTTTGTTGGATGTTGAAAGTACAGTGAGAGTAATATGTGATCACAAGAGCGGCAAATCAAAAGGTTATGGATTTGTGCTGTTTGATTCAGAAGAAGCAGCTGCAACTGCCTTAGCTTCCATGAACAATCAGGTTTGTTACACTAAACCAACTCAGAAAACATATTCCAACAGAACCTTTAATAGGCTCATGCTGAGTTAATATTGTCTTGTCTTTTCTTCAGTTACTCGAAGGCAGACACATCAGAGTCGCATATGCTTGTCCTAAAGGAGGTTTACATCAGAATCAGAATTGATTCTCGATTTCTGAACTCAACTGAAACTTTCAGATATATCGATGAAGCACCATAACTCCATTCACTCTTTCGATTTGTAACTGTTTAGAACTCAAAGAATCATTTTGGTGATGAGGCTTTTGTCGTTTTGTAATGATTGTGTGTGTCCTCTTCAAAGATCTGGTACTGTGTTCATATCTGTTGTTGGTGTTTCTGCTTCATTCGCAACTTCTACAAATATCAACAGGCCATTAACAATCTGTAACAAATAACCAAATGTAAAGCTCAGTCCATTCTCGAGGTATATATGTATACATCAATTTTGGTTATACTCCAATAACGTATCAAAAATCATTCTGGTGAAGTGTCTTAAATTGGTTTTGTAACGTCTTTGTTTGTCTTCTTCAAAGCTTTGTTACTGTGTTCATATTTGTTGTTGGTGCTTCTACTTCCAGCTTCTACCAATATTAATCGGCCCTTAACAATCTTTTACAAAGAACCAAATGTAAATCTCAGTCCATTTTTGAGGTATATACATCAATCTTGTTTATACTCCTGATTCAAGATCAGTTCAATTTCATATAAAAAAGCCAAGAATGAATAACACATTTTATAGAACCGAGGTTTACATACACACCAATCTTGGCCTAGAGTGAGTGAAGAGAATAGGATTGGTAAAGAACGATGTTTTTCGAAAGGCCCAATAACGTCCAATTTTTATATTTGTAGGCCCATTAAATCAAAATGTCCCAAAGGCTCCCCAATAAAAGCAAAAACCCTAGTTCACTTGCTGTCCTGTATTTACTTGAACTTTGTTTCTTCGACTCTAGGTTTGTGCGGCTGCCACTTCGATTTCTAAGGTTAGACCAATCTCCCGAACTTCGTACTCTATTACTGTTTCGTATCTCGGATCTGTGTAACGTATCTGCCCGATCACAACGTCTAAATTTATCTGAAATTCGCTTAGTTTTGAAATCGAGCTCGCTTGATTATAGCATACTGATAGTATTTAATCAAAAATGCAATTAAAAGTTATTATGTTTGGTTGTGAGGCGAAAATGAAGTGATGTATGTATTGCCTTTTTTTTGGGTTTGATTTTCAGTGTTTGAGCTTTGAAAGATGGTGAGAATCAGTGTGCTTAACGATGCTCTCAAGAGCATGTACAATGCGGAGAAGAGAGGCAAGAGGCAAGTCATGATCAGGCCTTCTTCTAAGGTCATCATCAAGTTCCTCATCGTCATGCAGAAACATGGTATAGTGATGTTCGTTTTTCCTTTGTCATGCTTTTGTCTTCATTTGTCTCTGAGTTGTAATGTTTACATGCAATTGCAGGTTACATTGGTGAGTTTGAGTACGTTGATGATCACAGGTCTGGTAAGATCGTTGTTGAGCTCAATGGAAGACTCAACAAATGTGGTGTCATAAGTCCCCGTTTTGATGTCGGAGTTAAAGAGATTGAAGGTTGGACCGCTCGTCTTCTTCCTTCAAGACAGGTCTGTCTTTAGTCTTTGCTCTCTTTTAGTCCTTTGTCATTTGATTTAATTCTTTCATTATCAAATATATCATATACAATGGGTGAATTTCGTTTTTGTTGGCTCTGTGTTGTGTATATAACTCTGATAAGTTGATTTATCTAACATGGGTTTGTTGAAATCGTGCAGTTTGGTTACATTGTTCTAACAACCTCAGCCGGTATCATGGACCACGAAGAAGCCAGAAGGAAGAATGTTGGTGGCAAGGTTCTTGGTTTCTTTTACTGAAGAGGCAACAACTTTAAGAGAATCTTCTTTGTCCGGTCTATACTTTTGCTTCTCCTTACGGTGAGAGATGAGGAATTCGATTGAGCTCAAAGTTTAAGAGGGTAGTAGATGTTTCTCTGTTCGTTTTCTTAGATAATTTTGTTTGTTTTGGGTTCTGCGCAAAAGTTGCTGAAGACTTCCGAAGTAGACAGTAATTTTCAATGAAAAAACTTGCTTTTCTATGAGCTAATTATCTATCTTGAGACATTTTTTGTTCACGTCATGAGAGTTGTGTCTTTTTGTTATTTTAACCATTATCTTTCTGAGGTGTGTTGCTGTGTTTGATAAAAGTTAATCGCAATTGACTTGCATGCCACTCCATACTCCAAACGTATTACATCAAATTTCAAGTCCATAGTAAAGCAAACTTCTCCACCATCCTCTTTCGATGTTTCGTCAAGCATGACCATTATTCCGATCTTGTCACGGTAATAAACTTTGTACAAGCTTCACGTAGGCAGCAATTATTCTTTTCTTAATTAAAACTAGGTGACCCACCCGCACCCTGTGCGGATATAAAAATATAGTATAATGCTGAGACATGAGTATCTATTGAGTTCAAATGTGGGAGTTAGTAGAACAAGTGAGAGTTTCAATGCTGAGATAAGATTTGAGCAAATCTCTAGGATGTAGTAGGGGTGAGCAAATCGTTACTTTTTCGGTTTGGTTTGTTTAGTTCGGTTTTAATATATATTTTTCAACTGAAATAAACGTTATTTAGTCTGGTTCGGTGTGGTTTATGTCCAGTTCAAGTTATATTCAGTTCGGTTTGTTTTTGGATCGGTTTAATTAGTCTCTTTGTCGCTTGATTTTTTAAAAGAAAAATTATGTTTTAAAATATATACACATAAAGTATGTGAACTAAATTCAATATTAAACTAAAACAAAAACTAAAAAAGTCACAAAATGTATATAAGAATAAAACAAATGAAAGTTAACTAAAGTAAAAAAAAATTAACATCATTAGTATGTTTTTAATAAAAGTTAACTATTAAAAAAAAATGTAAGAAAAATATACAGGAGACAGTGACATATTAAAAAATGTGATAAAAATCTCATAGATATCACAATCCCATAGAAAATGTGATAAAAGTTTAAATATAATTCATAAGTAATATAAAATAAGAAGAACAATTATGAATAAAAAAAATCCCATAGAAACCTGCAAAAAATTGTCAATTTTTTTTTAGCAATTGTACAATATAAAATAATTAATAGATTTCTAAATTTTATCGAGACGAAAATAATATTGAATTCGCATATCGCTATTGAAACAAACTGAAAAATGGTTTGTAATCAACTACAAACGGTCTTTCATCTGTGTTATTTATCTGTTAATAGAAAAACAAACAAATGTATATATATATATATAGTAAATTATGAATTATATATATAGTAAATTACATTTTTAAGATCCATATTTATATATATATATATATAATTAAGATAATAGTTTTGACTTTTTTAAATTTCAAATCACCATTATATTTGTGGTTTTCTAAATGGATAATAGTTTTGGGCTTTTCTAACTCAAATCACTATTATCTTATAAATTTGTGCAAGTAATTGATAGCAAAATAAAGTAATCATCATATTTCCGAATTAACTAATTAGGAAATAAAGAACATACACATTTAATGCAATATCACATGTATATAGTTACTAATAAATGACATCATAAAAGAACAAGAAATTTACTTAATAGACATATATTTTCACAAAAATTTAACTTTTAAATTTGTCAATTAAATGTATATTTAAAAAAATACTTCCTAAAAAGATTATTTCGTTTAGAATTATATATAATAAAAAATTCAGAATATATCAAATTTAAAGAATAATTATGAA